AAACCACCAATATCAACACATATAAATTTATAGTCCGGGCCAACAATGGCCATAAGTACTATTGAATATTTATGTAAATAGCACCAGTAATTGGAGCCACTGTTGTTAGGTCTCTTGATTGTTAAATGTTTACCGTCCAAGCTGCCAATTCAACTGGGAAATCCCCATCTATTTTCAAATTCTTCAGCACATTTTTTGCATATATTCTCTGTTGGTTCTGGTAAATATATATGCTCCATATGTCTGCATACCGCTTCACAGACTTCGGTTACGATTGCACTCACTGTTGTAAAGCCAACTCGAAAGCTAAGCCCAATGGTATAGAAGGTGTCACCAGTGGCAAGGAATCTATAAAAAAAATCGTTTTTAGGTGATGAAGTAAAAAAAAGGTGGAAGAATATCAGAGACACATTTGCAAAATATATAAAATCTACCAAACCAAAGACCGGCCAAGCAGTGGGCAAGATAAAAAAATGGCAGTGGGCTGACTACATGGAATTTTTCCGTCCTTTTTTGGCATTTGCCAAAACGTCATCTAATGTGAAAGATATTGACGTCATACATTATGAGACTGCCGAATTCAACTCAAATATATATCAGGAAAGGGCTGGAAATGTAGAAACCGAAAATTTGGAAGACCGCGGACATGGAGAAGATGAAAATGCTGATGTAGATGCAGAAGATGCACAGAACGCCTCGGCAACACAGACAGCACCACCTTCTTCATTGAACACTACAGCAGTGACTACTCCAGGGCACACCTTTCCGCAGACTGCAACTACGCCAAAATATAAAACGAGCAGAAAACGCTATGAACCACCATCTTCGTCTGTACAACAGCTCATTAATTATTTTGAAGGTAAAAAACCTAAAAAAGAGAACGAGGCCATTGATTCACTTTTCTTGGCACATGCACAGACTGTGAAAACACTTCCCTTAAAGCGTCAAGCCCGAATAAAACTAAAAATAGCCGAATTAATAGCGCACGAAGAATTTGAACATATTGAAGAAATGTCTTCAGCGTCTACCCAGAATTCTGCAAGTATGTATGATAGTAGTATGTCGTCCTTCCCAAGCGGCACTGGGTTTACTCCAATAATATACCCAACAGAGGAGGCAAATTCTGCCTCGAATTATTTAGCAACATTTAATCCTAGTGGCAACATGTAGTCCAATTATTACAATAAAATATTTATTTCACGATCCCTGAGGTTTTCGTATTCGATAAGCCTACTAATTTTAATACATATAATTTTTTTACCTGAGTGTAATAGCAAGTCGTTCTTCTGGCGAAATAGCTTCACGATAATTTGTGTCAGATTTTCGTATTTCATCTTTCACCAAGTTCAATATTTCATCGAAACACTCTGGAGTCATTCTAAAATATACGTAAAAGCGCTGTTCATCCAGCCGAAGTTGTGGCATCAAGGTATGGTATTCCCCAAATTTATTTCGTTCCAAGTTAATATCATGTACCCACTTCCTTCGTTTCATAAACAAAATTGAAAATATTTGTTTTATGTACTTCGTTAAACTTAAGCGATACGCCATTGTTGGCCCGGACTATACGTATAAATTTATATGTGTTGATATTGGTGGTTTCGGAAAAAATAGTGATGGGGGTATTTTCGAAAACTCAAACATGGGAAAACGATTTGAACGAAATTTAATGAGTGTCCCTGCACCTAGATTTCTCCCTGGGCAAAATGAAATCTGCTCGTACGTCTTAATTGGTGACGAAGCATTTGCTTTAAAACCATACCTTATGAGACCATTTTCTTGTAAGTAGACTTTAACAGACGTCAGAAAAGAGAAATACAATGTAAGACTTTGTCGAGCTAGAAGGGTCGTGGAAAATGCGTTTGGTATTTTGTCTCAAAAATGGCGAATATTTTACAGGCCATTAGAAACTAAAGTAGATACTACTATTCTAATTGTACGTACGGCATGTGTTTTACACAATTTTTTACGAAGTAAAAGTGACGATGACAAATATTTTCAATTCTTAGATCCCCCAGAACCCGTGCTTGGAGCTTTTACTGATATAGCAAATGATCCTCGGCGGGCAGCAAGGCTAGCATTTTCTACTCGTGACAAATTCGTAAATTATTATAATTCTGATATGCCTATGCCCAATATATAGAATGTTCGTTTTCACATTTGTGTGGACTGTAAATTATTTAACAAGTTAATAAAAAATATTAGGTACATACCATTTGTATTTAATTCTTTTCCTATTTCCATCCAAATCTTGTCTTTCTTTCTCACATTCCTGTATTCATCGTTCGACAAATCATACAAACAAGGATACTTTTTCACTATTTCTATCAATAATTCCGTTTTTGCCATTGCGAGTTTTTGAAGAACGGCGTCAAAAACGCGGTCAAAGGCGAACTGAAATACGCCGCGATAAAAACGCTGGAACAATCGCATTCGCTTCGCACAAGTCCGAGCCTGTCCGTAAACCGCCGCGTTTTAATCTGATCGCGAATTCATCGCCGCGAAATTTTCGCAGCCAAAGCGAATATTTCGCGCCGGTTTGTGGGATGCTTTACTCTTTGTAGGAGGCAGATACTATTTCAAGGTAGTGCATTCTCACCTTGTTCATAGCGAATGTTGTCATTAACCCTGTGTTCGGCTTCGATCTTCCACAAGATGCAAGATTCTAGAGTCGATCATGCAGTCAATTATCTAGACGCGCGACTGTTTACTTCTGGACAAGCTTATGTCGCACATTGTCGTGTAAGATCTTTAGACGGTATTCGGATTAAAGAACTTGATTGCCCTAAGTTAACAGGAAGAACCCCATTCAACAGTGAAGCTTTAAATGAAATGATTTGACTACGAAATGATTCGTAAGAGATTTCAATACCACATGTCCGCAAAAAACTCATTGATAAATCGAACTAAAAAATTAAAAATAAATAATAGTTTAAAAAAACTAAAAGTTTTTTGAAAACTACTATTTATTAAGAAATATAACAGAGTACAGATTCTCTACACCTGTGGCTAGAGTGGAGAGGGGCAAGGACACCTAAAGTGGTACTAACAGTAGTGGTTTATTGTGGGAAAAGGAGTAACTTTCAAGGCATACATTCAAATAATTCAAATAGTATAATAAACATGGAAAACACCCAATATCGTAGATAAACTTGTGCAGGGCCTTAACGTATAACTAGAGACAATTGAACCTTGAAAGAGCATAACTTTAGTAAAATTGAAACATTATGAAAGATAAAAAAGCAGGGAAAAAAATAAAACCAATACATAACATATTAAAAGCTAGAAGTTAGTAGTAACGTTGTAACGTAAAAGTACTCACAAGTATTTAATTAACACTATGTATCATGTCAATAAAGTCTGATTTGTACGGATTCCACCATATTTAAGACGATTCAGCGCATTTCAAATAGATTGATTTGTAATCGCTGTAATCATTGTTTTATAAAAATGTCCGTAAGCACAAGTTTTTTGCGGCAATACAATCATGGATAACCCCCTGGGTATTCTAGATATCCATTGTTTAATTTTTCAGGGAGTTTAATAATTTAGAATATAGAGGGATACTGTTCTCCAGATGAGGTCTAAGAGATGTCCATTATCTCGATAGTAAGGATTTTTCTGCTTTCGGTACAATTAAGTGCGGCAGTGAATTTTCCCGAGTCCCGTACTTCTGCTTGACTTTCTTTTGAGAAAACTCTTAGGTTTTAAGCATATAGTGTTACGACTTTTTTTGTTGTTGTAAATTACAGTTGCATAGATTTTACGAATTAGGAGGTTCTCTACTACTTACTCGTTTACTAGTTCATAAGATACTACATAGATAGACAAGGATATCTGGATCTCATACCCTTGCTAAAATTTATTGTGTATAGGATATATATATATATATATATATATACAGGGTGACTTCGAAGTTGAGTCATTTATTTCAACAGTGAGTAGATCTGATCAAAAGAAATGTTTTTTTCCTTTACCATTTTTCTGGTAAAATTGAAGTAACAAAGTTATAGCTCTTTGGAAGTTTGAGTACCGCCCTGTCTCAATAATAATATCATGTGCTCGTGTTTGGCAACAACGGATATAATTCGCATCGGAAACAAAAAAGGGAAAGAATTTGGAACGATGTTTTTACAATTATTTCATTCAGTTATATACATACAGTCACTGTCAGTCGGTAACGGGTGTGAATAGTGTTGTCTGTTGCGTGGCTCAAACGAAATAAAAAATGGCACATGTTTATGCGGATCGGTTTCCCAATCGAGTGCAACCAACCCCTCGCGCCTTTGTTAATGTAGTACAACGGGCTCGTGAATCAGGTGACTTAAGACCTCACAGGGGACCTCACGATCAAATACAGGTCCGCACTGAAATACTTGTCGGGAGGATACTTTATAAAACAAGGTAAACAATTTTTTTTAATTTTTTTTTATTTTTACACACATATTTTGGCTTATCTTCCTTCTACAATCATTATCTGAAAATTAATGACTCAACTTCAAAGTCACCCTGTATATATATATATATATAATATATATATATATATATATATATAATATATATATATATATATAATATATATATATATTTACATCCAGGTCAATCATTTGCTTCCATCAACATGCACGGCACATTACATCTTGACTCCATGACTATATTGATACCATATATCGGACTCAAAATAGTTAACTCGATTTCTGCCGCTCTAGAAGACCAGATATGCTTCAATCTTTACAGATTCCTACGCGATTCTCCAGCAGAGTCTGTGTTGAGTTTTTGTTCTATGATACCTGGCACCAGATGGCCGCAATTAAATAATGTGTGGATGCAATTTATTACTACTTTTGTAACCAAAAAATACGATTTTAGTTCACAGGAATTCCGCTACGCGGAGACATAAATATGCTCACTGGAGCTTTGCCTTCATTCCGTAGATTATTTTGGTTCCTCTTATAAAAATCATTGGCAATGCTGCATGTCGCGTCTATACGTATAACAATATGATCTATCCAGTCGTATCTTGATTCCCGACGTTTTGAGTACGATTTTGCAGCCAGTGAGTTTCTTTTGCCTGTTACTTGTTAAATACGAGTAACTTTCTTTGAGATCGAAATGGCTAGCAGTCAAGAAGAGGTAAGTTGTGTTTTTACTACCCACGCCAACTGGTGAGGAATGATTGTTTTTTGATTGATTCAAAATTTCAGGTGATGAAATTCTGGAATAACAGAAAAACAAATAGATGGCTTTGTAACAGATCATTATCTCCAAGTGAGGACAAGAGTGGAAATGATACTAGACAAGAGAAGGTTAGTTTCAACAATGACTAGATTCTTGTAAGTCTTAATAGTCCTTTGGCCCACGGGGAGAGAATATTTTGTGACAACCTAACCTTAAAGATTTTGTGAAACTTTTTCTTTACGTTGATTGGGACAAATATTCAATAGCGACAATTCCTTATACTTCTCATGCCAATTTTCAGAAAAGTTCGAAATCGAAACATGTTTTTTTTTTAATATTTCCTGACACAATCCCAAAAATCCATGCTACTCATTTCTGTCAGTCTGCCTGCAAATCTTTGGCAACTCCATATGGATTTTTTTAGACACAAGATTGCTCCTAAGAGGAGTATGAAAAAGTTTTGAATTTTTTAAAACAAAAAAAAAAGATACAAAAAATGCTCAAACTTTTTTCTGTACGTTTCAGTCCCCTAATCATTTTTCAAAATCTCTTTGGATGGCTCAAAATTGAGGGATAAGGTGGGGGATTTTTTTTTGCGTTCGTGAAGAATCACCCATAAAACTTTAACTGCAGCAATGGTCGTTAATCTTTTAACACTTATCAGAATTTCCCTTCAAAAATCGCGTTTTTCATAAGCTATAGACACTGGCAGATTTAGCGCCCCCTCCCTAGACACTTGCTTTTGTAATCTTACACCACTCCACCGTGTTACTTTCTCACACGTCATGGCGACAGAAGCATACTAAATATAAGTTATAGCTATATGAACTGAGCATTGCGATTTTTTGGTATCCTTTGGTACTCCAAATGCTGACCCTCTTTGACATCACTTAAGGTGTGTTATGTTCTGTTAGTTTTTTATGTTTGAATCTTTAATATTATTACACTAGTTAATTATACATGCCACCTACTTATTTTGTTTTAATATAATAAAATATTGCACTTTTGAGTATTTCTGAGCATTTTCCACGTTTTTTTTCAAGTTGGCCTTGACCAGATAGAACACAATGGATTTAAGGAGCAATAATAGGATAAATTCTAGAAGTTCCACTGAGATTAAAAAATGACCAGCCCCAAATATCGTTTGCGCCCCCCCTAGACGAAATCCTGAACCCGCCTTTGGCTATAGACTTTGAAGTTTACGAATCATATCCAAATGTTAATGTAACTTCTGCAGTGACCTGACAATGAATTGTATATGTGAATTTATTGCCATATCAACAGAGTTATATTTCTAGGACCAACAAAATTCCCCTGCGTCTCCTACATATGATAGCGATGCTGATCCCGAATTTGTTCCAGACACTAAAAGTGAATCAGAGGAAGAACCCAAAAGAAACATTCCGAAACAAAAACAGATAAATTATGAACGAAAAAGCCAGCAAACATAGGTACAATATGACCTCCGTTTCTAATACAGCACCATAATAACAGTGATGTGACTTTCCGCCTTCATAAGTTCGCTAAAACTTTGCTTAAAATACACCCGCCGAATTTTTTTAAGGTCGTAGATCATACAAATGACATAAAAAAAGATTGTATGCGCAACATATAGATAAACGCCACTTGTCAAATCACATGCGCGATCTAGGTTTCGGATGAGCGAATGAAATTAGAACTCTTTGATTATAAAAAAGTATAGCAAACATAAAGCTCATGAGATATTTTACTATTTATTACTTTTTTGTTCTATTTTTATAGCCTCATCTATGTACTTTTTATTTCAATACGCGTTAAAACTGTTAGGTTATAAAAATTGCCAAAAAGTCCATCAAATATTAATCCTGCCTATTTGCCATTTGTTATACTTTTTTACTTCTCGCGTAAATTGACGGGGAAGTATTTGTAATTGCGAAACATTTCTAAATCAAGATGATACTTTTTTAATGTTTCATGACATGTACATCACAAAACCAAGTTCGTTGTTAGCAATATATGGCATACAGGATGTGGCAAAATACCGTGACGGCTCGACAACTATTTGGGAATACTTTTCAGAAATGCTTCAAATAAGGGTTGTAGGATTATGCGTCATCTATCGGTCGGTGAACTTGGTTTTTACCTTGACTTTGACCTTGAAGGTTAACAAAATTTCAAATAATGTAAAGACCTATTATTGATTCGAGTAATGAAACTGGCGGAACATTTTAAATTCAAGCATCACCTTGAGCGATCCTTATATTTCACATTGAGTGATCTTCAACGTCAAATCACCACTAATGGGTAACTCTTCGGGAATGCATTTTAAGGTGGAATACTGTAAATAAAAGTTGTAGGATTAATCCTCAGCTATCAGAAGATGACCTTGGATTCGACTATGACCTTGAAGGTCATTTAAAGGTAGAATTTTAAACGTAGATCCTCATTTTTGACTCCTGCAATGAAATGAGCGAAAAATATTACGTTTAGATATGTCCTGGGGTGACGCTCATATTTGACCTTGAATAAGCTCCGGGCTACTATACTAAGGCAAGAATTATAGTCCCGGCCAACTAAGACAAGGTTAAAAGCCCTGGCCATATGGTAGTAGTTTCACGTTGAGAGATCACTGTTTTCCAAACTACTATGTTCTTTAATTTTACACTTGATATGACTAGATGATTCACCAATACATAATTTCAATTTATTAATCATCGCTTGTTTCAGGAAATGGAGAATGAACCGCCATTGATTTGTGCTGGTGAAGGCGAATCTGCAGAGCCCTCTAGACACGCAGCATCGAAGAAATACGAGTATAAACGCCAGACCGATATGTGTTACTTCTGTGAGACGGACGTACAGAACTTTGTACGCCATCTGCGAAGGAACCATTTATGTGAAACAAAAGTTCAGGAAATATTTTCACATCAAAAGAATTCTGTAGAAAGGAGAAAATTACTTGCAATTTTGAAGAAAAAAGGCAATTTCATAAAAAATTCAGGAGAGTGCGTCAAACCTGTGAAGAAGGCTCGTTCACCAAGTGCATCTTTTCTTCCGTGCGGAAATTGTCTTGGATTCTACAGATCAAAGTTTTTATACAGACACAATAAAAAGTGCTTGGAAGGTCAGTCAGCAAAATATGCTCAATCTGAAGCGCAGAATCTTCTCGTAAAAAATAAAAGAATTGACCAAAGATTGAAAGTCGAAGTCTTTCCCAGAATGAGAGCGGACAAAATATCTCTTGAGGCTAAAAATGATTATCTTATTTGTGCGTATGGTGCTAGATATTTGAAAACCCATAGAGAAAAGCATTTTATCAATGTAACGAGTAGAAAAATGAGAGAGCTTTCCAGAATATTACTAGAATTGAAAAAACTGGAGCCAACAATACACAATCTGTTTGATGCCCTGAAACCAAAGCACTATGACCAACTAGTTGAAGCTACAAAATCAGTAGCAAACTACGATACTGTTAATGACACATTTGATTCTCCCACATTTGCCATGAATATAAGTACCGCACTGAAACAGTGTTGTGACATTGCAATACACATGGTTATAAAAAATGAACCATCAGTTGAAACAGCTACTTATGAAGCTAGCCTCAAAACGATGATTAATTTGCTGCAATCAAATTGGAGATTTGATGTCTCTGGCCGCGCTGGCAATGATTTGAACTTGAAAAAATTCAATAAGGTGACTATTGTGCCATTAGCAACAGACCTTAGACTACTTGTTGTTGAAAGCAGGAGAGGCAGTGAACAGGTTGGCTAGAAATGCTGCTCATGCGAACGCTTACACTACTCTGCTGGAGACAGTTTATTGCAGGGTAATACTACTAAATAGAAAAAGACCAGGTGAACTGCAAAGGATGTTTCTTCGCACTTATGAGAGTTCTGAAATTAAAAGTGGCGCCTATGAAGAATTTGAAGAAGTCATTACCGAGGCGGAAAAACTACTGATAAAAAATCTGAAAAGAGTTGTGCAATTACTTGTACCAGGCTTAGAAAACACCTTGCAACATTGAGTCAACTATTTAGTTTAAACGAAAATGAAATCGAACAGTTGTCCAATTTCATGGGACATACACCTGGGGTACATAAAGACGCATATAGGCTACCCGACGATTTGTACCAGACCGCGAAAATTTCAAAATTGCTAATTCTGATGGAAAAAGGACAAGCTGGTGAAAATAAAGGGAAAGGATTAGAGGAAATAACAGTGGACTTAGAAGAAGATCTATTAGAGGAGAACGGGTGTGATGACGAGGATGGAGAAGATATGGAAAAGGAAGAAGAGGATCAGGAAGAAAAAGAAATAAGAGAAATGTTATCTAATAAAACAGTAGTGTTAGAGCAAAAAGGAAAGAAAACGGAATTACCTGTGGCTGTCAATAAGAAAAAGCGTATTCTTACACCATGGACTAGTGAACAGAAGGAAGCAGTAACATTCTTCTTTAATAAGAACATAAAGATGAAAAAAGCTCCAAAAAGAAAGGACTGTGAAGAAATTAAAAGTGTATACCCCGAGTTGCTAGCCAATAAAGACTGGCTAAAGATTAAAGTTTTTATACAAAATGCGTATTCAAAAAGAAGCAAATAAGTTGTAAAATGTGAATGTGAATGAAAATAAAGAAATCAAGCTCACTTGAGTTCATTTATTTTGACCGCTAGTTGTACTTAGACTGCTATCAGAGGGTATCATTAGTAAATGTGTGTATTTCTTGTCATAGTTTATGGAAATATTTAATATAAACGTTCATACCACCTTGCGTTGCACTGCTATTTGATAACTTTTTCTTTTACTTCTTTTTTTTTCCTGATCCTCTTTTTCATCCCCCCTCTTTTCGACATGCTCATTATCAGATCTGCTCTGTTCCAAAAGAGCTTTTACTAAATCCACTGTTATTTCTTCTGATTATTTTCCTTTGTTTCCGTTAGCTTGTCCTTTTTCCATCAGAATTAGCAATTCAGACATTGATGCATAGGGGCTGCGATTTACATCTCCATCTACCCCTAGTATATGCCCCATAAAATTGGACATCTCTCTGATTTCACTTCCGTTAAATTAAATAGTTGACACAATGATAATAATAATAAACGTCTTTATTATTCAGATTCTGTACAACTGGTGAGTTCATGATACGAGTTGTTTTCTAAGCCTGGTATAAGTTTGCTTCACACTCGATAGGTGTTTTGCAATTACTTCCAAAATACCGGAAGAGCCGTTAAAAATTCATTGGCAGCTCTCTCCCTTTTTTCAGTTCAAAAGTATTCCACTACCAGATATTGTAAGCATTAACATTATAAGCATGTTTAGCCGATATGTTATTTTCCATTAGTTTGAGTTGTGCGGCTAATGGCACAATGGTTATCATATCATTTTCTTCCAAATCTATGTTACCATTACTGCGGCTATATCATCAAATCTCCACATTGACTGTAATTGTCTTGGGCCTAGGTTGATACAAAGTTGTGCTGACTGATTGCTCATTTCATATAACTTCATGTAACTGAGTGTCAAATGCGTCTCTACCAATTTTCTTATAAATTTCGGTTTCAAGTTACCAAACGGATTGATTTTACTTCTTTCAGTATTATTTATACATTCTTTTCGTTGGTAGCGCCTTTCTCTGTGAGATATAATCTAAATAATCTCTTTCTTCAAGAAATATTGTGTCTAAAAAGTTATAGTACAATTTGACATATAATAATATCTATTTACCAATAACTTATATGTCATAGATACAAACCAAGTTAATAATTAAGCTGAACTGAAAGATGGTAAATTTCGCAACACTGTCGGAAGCAAAATAACCATTGCTACGTTAAATATACAACTTATGGAATCAAAATAGTTCTACTTACGTACAGATTTATACTGATGGTAGTAATTTAGATTGTCATATAGAGGGAACCAAAATATTTAATTAGCGAAAAAAGTGTATACCGTGTATATTGGTGCCTTCATAATATGGACAATAAAAAGTATATCGGTATAAGCAGAATTCAATGAGGAACCTATATACACATCAAAATGTATGCTAGCGCAATTCCTAACGGTGGACGCAGAATGCTTTGTCTTTGAAAGGAAGCAGTATGGTCTTAAGATGTAAATATATATATATATATATATATATTGTAACAGCATTTTATATTTCTGCTTTCACCTGTTGACCCCCTCCCTTCTGATGAACCTCCCCTAGTGAACCTGAAACAAAGCTCAATAAGCATCAGATACTTAACTTACAGAGTGATTTTACTAGCCCTATAATGGATTGGCGATATCCACCATTGATATACAGGGTGTCCGCAAAGTTGGGGTTTTCCTTTTCAGAAACAACTACCCTTGAAATAACAAAGGTAATGTGTAGTTAAACGAGGGCGACCAAGTAAAAAAATAAAGGAACAAGTACTCACTCTCCAGTTGACGAAATCATACCGCTCCAA